GTGATTTAAATTAATAGTAGTAATAATTAATAGTAGCAAAAGTTAATAGTATCAATAATTAATAGTAACGATAATTAATAGTAGCAATAATTATTAGTATCAATAATTAGTAGTAGCAATAATTAATAGTAGCAATAATTAATAGTATCAATAATAAATAGTATCAATAATTAATAGTATCAATAATTAATAGTAGCAATAATTAACAGTGGTAATCATTACCTATTAATAGTAATAATTATTCAAAACAATTAATAGTGACAATTGCTAATAGTAAAAGTAATTAATAGTGACAATTACCAATAGTAATAATAATCAATAGTAAAACTTACTAATAGTAATGGTAATTAATAGTAATAATTACCAATAGTAATAATAATTAATATTGAAACTTACTAATAGTGTTAGTAATTAATAGTGACAATGACAAATAGTAGTATTAATAAATAGTAATAATTAATAATAAAAATAATTAATAATAATAATAATTAATAGTAAGAATAATTAATAGTGATAATTACCGCAATAGTAATAATAATCAATAGTAAAACGTACTAATAGTAATAGTAATTAATAGTGATAATTACCAATAGTAATAATAATTAATAGTGATAGTTACTAATAGTAATAATAATTAGTAGTAAAAAGTAATAATAATAATAATAATTAATTTTAGTAATTAAAAAAAATTATACTCCATAAAAAAGCAATTAAAAATATAGTTATCAAATACAGAAGGTACGATTTACCAAAAAAAAAAAAAAAAAACAGAAAATAAAATAAAATTTATCTAAAAAATTATTGACGTAAGAAAGACCGGTTACATTTTCAAACGGTATTTTTTTCACACGGGACACTCCCACTTATAGTGGATTGTAATATAGCAACAAGCGTGTCGTAATTAGCGCCAGTGATTACGCGAATAGTAATCGCATCGATTGCTCTATTATAGTCAATCCTGTCGAACATATATGATACACGACTGATTAAATATAAATATATGTATATATAGATAGATATATAATGATAATTATTATTGCTTTACATAATCCCACTCTACGTACAATCGAGACAATAAGAGTTCATAGGTGAATGTACCAATTTAAAATTTCTATTGACGTTAATTTAATTTTTATCAAATTAGAGATAATCAACTATGTAAATCACTTTCAAAATATGCTGAAAAAGCAGAAAACTATTTTACTATTTTAATTTTATGCTTCTTTTTCTATTTAATTACTTTTTGATTTTTAATTTATTAAGTTCAATAAAAATGCCAATTTTTAGTTTTTATTTTATATTTTTATTTAATAAATTATATCAATTTTATTGATAGTAAAAATAAGAATTAATTAGTAGATATTAATAGTAGTATTCTACTACTACTATAGTATAGTTATCATTAATATATTAATATAATAATAATTATTATTACTGTTAATATTTACTACTATTAATTCAAATTAATAATTGAAAGTATAGTACTATTAATTAATACTACTATTAATTATTACTACTACTACTACTGAGTTTTAATACTATTAATTATTACTACTATTAATTAATAATAGTAGTTATTAATATTAGTATAATACCACTAGTATAGTTATTATTAATTATTAATTATTATTATTAATATTATTATTAATTATTACTATTAATATTATTATTAATTATTACTAAATTAATAACTATTACTATTAATTACTACTAATATTAATTGCAATTACTATCAATAATTACTACTATTAATTGCAATTACTATTAATAAGTAGTACTGTTAATTATCACTACTATTAATTATTACTACTATTAATTATTACTACTATTAATAACTACTACTAGTAATTACTACTAATATTAATTGCAATTACTATTAATAAGTAGTACTATTAATTGCAATTACTATTAATAAGTAGTACTGTTAATTATCACTACTATTAATTATTACTACTATTAATTATTACTACTATTAATAACTACTACTAGTAATTACTACTAATATTAATTGCAATTACTATTAATAAGTAGTACTATTAATTATTACTACTATTAATAACTATTATTATAGCAACAGTAGTTAATATAGTATATAGTAGTGATATTATTGTAGTTGTACAGTACTGTTAATTAATTTGTTTTAATCAATAAATAAACAATCGTTTATAAATTTTTTTATAACTAAATATGAAAAAGAAATTCATAAACCACGTATTATCGAAGTAGCCTAATTTTTTATGATGATGAATAATGATTTATCGCATTTTATTGATAGTGGATCACTATACATATTTATGATGATTATATTTTTTTTCTTAAATAAACAATGAAAGGTAGAATTATTTTATAGATTACTGCAACATCTGGACTTATATAGAAGTCACACTCGGGAAATATCCATACTACTTATATGTATTTATATGATAAAATTCTTGTCAAATATTGTAAAACAAGATCTAAGTTTTTGATAAGAGGAACTTTGACAGTTTTTTCCTTTTCTTGTTATATTTTTTTTTGTTATTCTTGAAAACAAACATTATTCGTTTTTATGATGGAGTTATAAAAGAGAGATACTATTTTTAAAATAATTCCTCTATAAGGACAACAAAATACGTTTTTTTTTGTCTTTTAGAAAAAAAAGAAAATTAAACACCGGCGCAATAAAATTTGAAATTACTCTCTAAATTTTAATTAGTAAAAATTACTAATTTGAATTTTATGGCTGAATTTTTATTTTTTAATTAGCAAATTGTACTAGTAGGTAAATAATTATTTCTACTAATTTACTGATTTTTTGTTTTTGAATTAGTAAATTTTTGTAATAAATAGTAATTTCTACTATAATTTATTAGTGAAATTTACTAATTAGAATTAATTAATTTTTTAAATTGAAAAAAAAAATTCAAAAATTTTGCTAATGAACATTATTGTAGATTTGGTAAAAAAAAATTCGTCTTAAAAATTCAATACTCATTCGCATACTCTTGAAGTTAAAAAAAAAGTTGTCTCTCTATTTATTCTGGGAAATCTATTCAAAGTGAAGAAAAAAAAATTATTCTCAAAGCTTGTGTATATGGTAATTGAATTTTTTTTTCTTTTTTTTTACAATTCAAAATCACCTTGTGAGCAATAAATGAGAACAGAAATGCCCCGAAGAAAGAAATTATGCGTGATGTAAATTTTTAATCTACTCTCAGGGGTTTATTGAAATTCAGGTCACTTTTGAGAGTTGCTTGTCTCTAAACTTTTTTTTTGTCTTTTTCTTTTTTTCTTGTACTTAAATCACGTCCTTTCGACACACCTCTCTTCATTTATATACTGTAAAAGAATATCAATTTGAATTGTCTTTTATCTGAGATTACTATCAAAAGTTGTAAAATGAGAAAAGAAAAATAAAAAGCAAAAGATAAATATATATGTATACTTTTTTCTATTTATCTTATACGGAGAAAGGAAGAAATTATGAAATAATCATTAATCGATCGCTACCTGTGATGTATTGCGTTGTCAATATAATCCCAACGTATAATCAATCACGTAATTCATTTATTATACATTTACTTTATTATTGCAAGCTCATGTTTTTATTTCAATTTTTCAATTTTTCAATTTGGAAATATTAAAATTCTTTTCAATTTCTTTCAGTTTTCTGTTTTTTTTTTCTTTTTCTTTCTATATTCAATGCAATGTTGATAAGAAAAAAATGTAAAAAAATGTTTCAACAATAAAATTATTTTTTCAACATCAACATGTTGAATAAATAATATTTTGTTGAAACATTTTAATGTATCAACATTTAATGATTTTAATGTTTAACATTTAAAAAAATGTTTCAACAATAAAATTATTTATTCAACATCAACATGTTGAATAAATAATATTTTGTTGAAACATTTTAATGTATCAACATTTAGTGTTTTTAATGTTTAACATTTAAAAAAATGTTTCAACAATAAAATTATTTTTTCAACATCAACATGTTGAATAAATAATATTTTGTTGAAACATTTTAATGTATCAACATTTAATGTTTTTAATGTTTAACATTTAAAAAAATGTTTCAACAATAAAATTATTTATTCAACATCAATATGTTGAATAAATGATTTTCTTGTTGAAACATTTTAATGTTTCAACATTTAATGTTTTCAATGTTTAACATTTAAAAAAAATGTTTCAACAACAATTATTTGTTGAAACATTAAAAAAAAACCTTTAAAAAAACATTTAAAACGTTTAAAAACATTTTTTGAAACATTTTCAACAATAAAAATTATTGTTTCAACATTTAATATTTTTAATGTTAAACATTTAAAAAAAATGTTTCAACAACAAACATTTGTTGAAACATTTAATTAAAACGTTTAAAAACATTTAAAAACATTTGTTTAAACATTTTCAACAATAAAAATTATTTATTCAACATATTTTTTTTTTTAAAAAGGTTTCAACAATAAAATTATTTATTCAACATATTGATGTTGAATAAATAATTTTTTTGTTGAAACATTTTTTTAATACATTTTTTAAAATTTAATAAATTTTTTATTGAAAAATGATTTTAAGTATTCAAAAAAAAAAATACTTTTTGGAACGTTTCTATTTTTCTTTCGCAAAAAATGGAGAGTATTTGAAATCTGCTTTATCGACACAACATAGAGTGGAAACTCGAACGAAAAATTTACCCTGAGTAAAAATTAAAAATTAAATTAATTAATAATAATGACTATTGTTATTACTAACAAAACTGAAAATATAATAATAATAATAATAATAATAATAATAATAATAATAATAATAATAATTATTATTATTATATTTTCAGTTCTGTTACTCGAATAAACCAACGTTGGCATAATTTAAAACCGAAAACGTCTAAAGAAGAATGAAACGCTTTTATCACACAATTTCTTATCATTTCTCAAAAAATGATGGAAGAAGCAAGTAAACTTGTAATGATACGAAATTCATATCTTTATGCGAGCAGTATAATATGAAAAACATATAGAACACAGTGAATGATAAGAATACGTTGATTTTCTAGTTGGAAACTCTTCAGTGTCAAATCGAATTCTCAACAACTGAGATCGTCTATTAAGAAAATAATTGTGATATGGACCATAGTGCACAATGAGGTCATCGCCTCTGCACAAAAGTTCTTAGTGTACATCACTCTCTCCCTCTCTCTTAATTATAAATTATGAACTTTTAAAATTTTCCTTTTTTAAATAATTCTTTTTTCTTATTTAAAATAATAGAAACAAAAAAAGTGTTCAAAAAATGACGACAGTGCTTGCAACTTTTGCCGTTTTAAAAAATCATATTAAATTAAAAGTTTCGCCAGATTATGTAGCAATTGACAATATAAGTGAGTATATATTTAACGAATAAAGGGAAATTTATTCATTTATCTAAATAGTTTCTTTTTCGAATATGAATTAATTTGAAAAAAAATTTTTAATTAAATTTTAAATTAAATTTTAAATTTTGAATTTGAATAAAGAAAAGAGTAGTATTTAAAGCAAAAGTGGTAATAATTTTATTTAATTATTTATTTATTTACAATAATGAATATTAAAAATAGTGAATTTTTCATTTGTAAGCTTTGAATAATAATATTCCAAGTTCAGTGTTTAAATAAATAAATAAACAATAAAAAAATTAATAATAATAAAAATAATAAGAATTATGAATATCAAAAGTAATGGATAATATTAATATTAATGTATAAATAAATAAGTAAGTAAATAAATAAATAAATAAATAAATAAATAAATAAATAAATAAATAAATAAATAAATAAATAAAATAGTAAAAATGTTAATAATAAAAATAATGAAGATAAAAATAGTGAATAATAGATAAAATAATAACAAAATATGTAAAAATTATGCAGTTGCTAAATAATAATAATTAAACAAAAACTAAACAGAATATTCCAATTTTAAAATATTGTTGACGACTGCGTTATTATATTATTATTAAAATAATTACGATTATAATGATTCTGATTTTTATTAGAATAATAATAATGTTAATAAAAATAATAATAATAGTTAAAAGAATATTAATTTTGATAATAATAATTACTGGCCTGTGACCAACGCGACAGTTGTTATTCTTTTCGAAAATAATAAAAATTTATTAAATAAAATTATTTAGCCACTATTTTTATAAATGAATTACTAATTGACATTTATTTCGATAAAAAAGCCACTAATATCACTAGTATCACTAGTATTTTAATCGATATTATAAATAGCAATTTATTTATAGTAAAAAAATTAATTCTATACGACTAAAGATATAAATCTAAAAAAAATTAGACCATAAAAATAGCAAAATAAAATTGAATTTAAAATCTAATTCTATTTATATTAATTTTTAATTCTCTAGATTCTGATTATAAATAATTATAAAATTACAAACGAAGTTGAGATTCAGGAGATGCTAGTCTCCACCTGAGAACGCCAAGGTCACCGCTAGATGGCAGTGCAGTTGATAAAACCAGATTCCACGCCACCTGGTGACGACCCTGGCGTTCTCAAGTGGAGACATTTATTTTATCCCTCAAAAACTTTTTTATTATTAAAAAAATGTATTATTATTAAAATTTATTATTAAATTTCTGGTTACATTGCAATTATTTCTTTGAAAACTAGTTTCTTTGAAAACACATTATTATACCAGAAATATTTTTCGAAATTCTCATAGACATTTTTTTTTTGTTTTTCTGAGCAATAATAATGTTAATTTATCTTGACAGGCAAATAAGCCATTTTTGTTATTAAAGGAAATTTGACTGAAATGTATATAATTTTTTAAACTTTTTTGTTCTCAGTTTTCAAGTTGCACTACAGAGCCACATTTTTGGTTCTCTTGGCAGCAACGCTTCTCGTTTGTTCGAGGCAATTCATTGGAGAACATATAAGGTATACAAAGTAACATCATGTTTCGCAGACTTTAACAAAAGTTATATATCAACTCTTCACAACTGTAATTTCAAACCGTAAACAACAGACTTGGTTGAGTCAAAAAAAAAAAAAAAATTGTATACTTTACTCAAACTTTTGATTTACATCGCTGATGCATACCTCGCGAAAGATGTAAAATCCACTTTCGAATTTTAAAACGGGAATATTTTTTGATCGGAGAGTATTTAAATTTCTTTATTTACCATTTATTTATTTATTATTTTTTTATTTATTTATTACTATTTATTTATTATTATTTATTTATTATCATTTACTTATTTATTTGTTATTATTTAATTATTTTTTTATTTATATTATTATTTATTTGTCAATTTTCATTGGTGCCTATTAAAACTGAACGTTTCTCAAATTTGTTTTTATACTCCGGTCACTTCATCTTGCTTGCGAGCGAGTTTTTTCGCCATCTGGACGGGAACTTACAGATTTACAATGGCGCGAAATTCAAATATAACAAAACATGAATGCAAATAACAATAAGTAAACATAACTTTTAGGATAATATTAACTCAATTATTTATTTTTTATTATTTATTTCTTTATTTATTATTATTTCTTTATTTATGATATTATTTATTTATTATAAACAATAAAAAATTGTAACAAAAATTTTTTTTTCAGATGCATTAATGATGCCGGCGTACCTGAACATGTGATAAATACTTTTTGCTTTTTCACTTCTACTTTTACGGTGGTAAGTTTACATTTTTTTTTTTTTTTTTTTTTTTTTTTTTGAGAAAAATAGTTCGAAACGAAAAGATTGTTTTTTTCCAGGTGAAACATATGAATTTGACTTCAGTGCTCGAAGGTGAAGTGCCACATCCCGGCGTTGGTCCAGTGACAAAAAGAGATGAAGTCGTTCATCATGCCTATTATCAATGGGTGCCATTTATTCTTTTCTTTCAAGCCATTCTCTTCTATCTACCTCATTATTTATGGAGATCGGCCGAAGGTATGAATGTAAATTGAGAATTTAAATTCTCATTTTTTGCTTTCCTTTTTTTCCCCACCAACTAAAATTGCTAAATTTCGTAAATTCAATAACAAAATTGATAATTTTAATATGACAAATAAAATAATTAATTTTGTGTCTTTAGTAATTAATTAAATAATTAAATTGGTAAATTAGAAAACAAATTAAGTTGATTTTAAAAACAAATTGGGTAAATGATTAAATTAGTAAATTTAATAATAAAATCGACGAACAAAAATTCGTAAACTTAAAAATAAGTTTACAAAAATTGGTAAATTTGAGAAAATAAATAAATTGCAATTAAGTTGTGAGTATGAGGCGAAGAGAAGCGGCCCCCACCACGCGGACTCTGGCCCCTCCCCTTTAACACTCTACCGTCAGGTAGAGAGTTAAAGGGGAGGGTCCAGAGTCCGCATGGTGGGGAGACGCTTCTCCTCGACTTTTTGCTTTCTTTACCATTTTCAATGAAATCTATACAAACAGAAAATTATTTTAATTTAATTCTATTATTAAACCACAAAAACTGTTAATTGAATATTAATTTTTATTTATTTATTTATTTATTTATTAATAAAAATACTTGATAAAAAAAATTTTCAAAAAAAATTTGTTATTTCTTTTAATTTTGAGAATGAAATTTAATTGATAGGTGGCCGATTAAAGTTGCTGGTATCGGGCTTAAATCTAGCGTCTTTGGCACTACAAGAGGAAAAAATTGAAGTGGACGGAAAGATTATACCAACAAAGGGTGATCGTGATGAGAAAATACGACAAATTCGAACCGGATTCATAAATCGTCTTCACTTAAATCGACCCTGGGCTTATTATTTAGGTTTTTGTGAGGTGCTCAACTTTATCAATGTTCTCTTTCAACTTTATTTCACCGACTGGTTCTTGGGCGGGACTTTTCTCAATCTTGGCACTGAAATTCAAAACAATGGCTTCAATCACATATTAGATCGATTGGACGAGGTCTTTCCAAAGGTGAAAATTTAATTTTTAAACGAAAAAAAATAATTCATCAAAATTAATTAATATTTTAATTAAATTAGTGTATAATAATTATTTATTTAATTCAACTATTATTTATTTAACTAAAATTAATTAATTAATTAACTTAGTTATTATTTACTTAACTAAAATTAATTAATTAGCTTAGTTATTATTTAATTAATTTAATTATAATTTATTCTATTCTTACTCAACAAATTAGTTCAATTTACAATTTTCAAAATGTCTAGAAAACTATATATTATTCTCGGTAAATTCGAGCAAAAAAAAATAATTTGTTATTTCTTCATTGTGAAAAAATGTAATTTTTCTCGAATGAAAATTCCTTAGTCAATTGAAACATGAGAATAGTAATTTTTTTTCTCTCCTTTTTGTTTATAATATTATACGCAATGTCTATATGTTACTTTTAGATTGTATCAGTGTATATTATTTTTTTTCTCTTTGAAATTCTTGCCTCGAGGGCATTTAATATCAATCGTTGCAAGTATCAATTGCCTATTATAAAGTTCACGGCTCATTTAACGTTTAATTAATTATTCAGGTCACTAAATGTACTTTTCACAAATATGGTGGCTCCGGTTCGATACAAATTCACGATGCTCTTTGTGTCATGGCGTTGAATATTGTCAATGAAAAGATTTATTTTATCCTCTGGTATTGGCTAATTATTCTCGCAATTCTCACTGGACTTGGATTAATATGGAGAATTCTCACCATGATTTTGCACGCAAGGTAAAAAATTTTTTCTATTTAGTATTTATTTTCTATTCATTTATTTTATTTTTATTTATTTTTATTTATTTTTGTTAATTTTTGATTCTTTTTGTTTATTTTTAATTTTATTTACATTATATTTTTATTTATTTCGACTTCGATTTATTATTTATTTTTCTTCACACTTTTTAACGTCCCTTCTTTCGTCTTCGTCGCTTGACGCATGCGCGCCGATGCGCGCCTGCGCAGGAACGTTTTTTCCTAGAAAAACGTGCGCTTTTCTAGGAAAAAACATTCCCGCGCATGCGCCTCTAGAAAGAGAGAGAAAAAAGGACGTTGAGTACACTAGCTGTCTCTTTCTATCGGCCTGACGCTAAAGGAAATAAAAATAAAAAATAGAATCAGTAAATAAAGCAGAAAGTAAAAGAGAAAAAAATAGAAAAATATTTTAATAAGAGAAATAAAAAAAATGAATAAGAAAGAAAATAAAAATATAGATAAAAGGGAAATATTAAAATAGGGGAAGTACAAAACAAAAAATAAATAAACAAAACGAAAATTTAAATAAATAACAAAATTCTAAATATTTAAATAAAGAGAAATCGAAAAAATTCCAAAATATAAAAAAAAATTAAATTAAAATTCTAAAAATTAGGGGAAACAAAAAAAAAATTGGGAATTAAATGAAAACAATGCGATCTTATTTTACAGAAGCCTCAATTTTAACAGACTAGTTTTCTCAATGGCCTGTCCAGGGAAATATAATCCCTGGAATATGCTCAGGGTTACACACGACTATCACTTTGGCGACTGGCTCTTCCTTTATTACATAGCAAAGAACCTAAACAATTACGTTTTCAAGGAGTTATTGCACCAGTTGGCGGAAGACCTCGAGGAACGGAAACAAGCCAAGTATAATATTATCCCACAAGAGGATTTTGATACTTTAAAGAAAAATTAAAATAAACATTATTTCTCTTTTTCTCTGCTCTTCTTTTTTTTACTCTCAAAACTCAACGTGAGTATAGTGTGTGATTAGAACGCTAAGGAATCCGGAAGGAAACACGTTTCTCTGATTTTATTTTCCAAATGAAAAATCTACATTTTTTTTTTTAATTTTCTTAGGCGTAGGTAAAAATAAAATTTTAAGAAGTAATTAATTAAAATTAATTAATAAAAAATTGTGAAAATTAACTATAGTATACTATTCCTAATTAACTATTGTACTATTATAAATTGTGTTTAATTTTAAATTAATGGAAATTTTATACATAAAATATTTTTTTTTCTACTTAAAAGGAAATGTTTACTCTTTTACCTAACAACAAAAATTTTTATACTTTTTTTAAAAAAGAAATGTTTACTCTTTTACCTAATAAAAAATTTTTTTATACTTTTTTTAAAAAAGAAATGTTTACTCTTTTACCTAATAAAAAAATTTTTTTATTCTTTTTTTTTTAAAAGAAATGTTTACTCTTTTACCTAAATAATAAAAAATTGTTAATTGAAAATTTTAAATTTAAGAAAGCGAATTGTCGTTTATCTCAGGAATTTTTCGACTTCTTTTAAGTGCCATAAACGTGTAGGAGGTAAAAATTCAAATGGAGTTCAGAGACCTGGAAATCTTTCTCTTTTTTTTCGTCAAAACTTGTTTCGAAAAATTCTTTCTACCTTTTTCGAATTTTGAAGGTATATTTTGTGTAATTTAATTTATTTCTGTAATTTAATTTGGCACGAATTATTTTTCACTTGATATTTAATCAGAATAATGAGTTTATGAAAAAAATTTTTTATTAACTGTATTATTAATTATTAAAACTAATAATTAATAAATAATAATTAATAATTAATAACTAATTAATAAATAATTATTCTATTATTAAATAATTATTTACTAATTATTTAATGTAAGAAAATATTAATTATTATTTCTTTTACATTTCTTCCTGAGATTATCCTGTAGTAATAATTAAAATTGTTACAAATAATAAATAATAAAAAAAAATTTTATTTAAAAAAAATTTGGCATTCTTCGCTTATTATTTAGTAATGAGACGACTTAACTAGTGATTACAATGTAATGAAGTTAAAATGTCACTTATACTCTGGAATTGTATACATTTTTTCTCTGATTAGTTCTTTGAAATTAATTTTTATCACTTAGAGATAAAATTGTTATGCCCTAACCGCTAATTATATGTAAAGTTTGAATAGCATTTTGTCATTCAAGTTTTTATTTTCACAGTTTTAACGACAAATGAGAAGAAAATTATTCAAAATCATGACCAGTACGACAATTTTTTCTTGTATTTTTTCATTGAAAAAAAATGTTAAATAAATAAATGAAAATAAATAGTTATTAAAAAAATGTGAATAAAAAGATGAAAAGTAAATAAACGAGAATAAAAAGGGAAGAAAAAATAATAAAATAAATAGTTATAAAAAAGAATAAAAAATAAAAATAAAAAAAGTGAAAAAGAATAAAAAATTAAAATTAAAAAATTAAAAAAGAATAAAAAATAAAAATAAAAAAAAAATAAAAAAAGTGAAAAAGAATAAAAAAATGAAAAAGGATGAAAAAACAACGAAAAATATATTTAAAATAATAAAAAGGATTGACAATTAAAGATAAGAATAAAAGATGACAAGAAAATAAAAAAATTAAAAATTAGGTATTGAAAAAGAATGAAATTAATAAAAATTTAAAAATTAATAAAAGAGAATAAAAGAAAAAAAATGGAAAAATAATAAAGAATAATAAAAAAATAGAAAGAAGAACAAAAAATAGTGAAAAATAATAAAAAAAGGAGAAAAGTAAAAAATAAAACAGAATAAAAAAGTTAAAACACAACAAAATAATTAAAAAAAAATAAGAAAAAGGAATAAAAAATAATAAAATGGAATAAAAATAGAATGAGAAAGAATAAAAGAGAATAAAAAATAATAAAAAAGAATTGAAAAGAATAAGGGAAGAAAAGGATAAAAAAATACTAAAAAATTATTATATATTCAGATAAATGAATAAATAAAATATAAAAGTGATCAAAGAGAATAAAAAATAACAAGTAATAATTAAAAAATAATAAAAAGGAATATAAAATTAATAATACAAAAAAAGAATAAAAAAGATTTTGAAAAAATTATTGAAAAATTGTAACTCAGAAAGAATACAAAAAAAATAAATAAAAAAATTTTTATTTTTACAATCAATGAAAGATTTTTTTCCTCATATATTGTCAAAGATTAATATTTACAACTGTAAAATTACAGAGAAATATTGTTAATAATAATATAAATCTATTTCTAGAAGCTGCTATTTCAATTTTTTTTAATACTTTTTTCCATATTGAATAAATAAATAAAAAAAAGGTGTAAAATTAATAATTTTTTTTAAATGAAACAAAGTATCATAAATATTGTTAAGTAATGATTCTAAGAAAATTATAAACCTTGAGAAGAACAACTCTATTTCCTTATAACAAAAACCTATGAAGATTTCACTGTATTACACTGTGTGTGACAATGAGTATCACTGAAAATCTTGACCCAGAAATAAAATGACAGATCTTCAAAGCGATAACATTATACTTTGCCATATAACATAAAAAAATGTATTTTCTTGCAACACGTGACATTATTTTCAAATTTAGAATAAAAGTGGATTCACTGAGTTATTTTAAATTTAACGCACTTTATTAATGGCATTATTAGATATGTATGTTAATTTATTTCTTTTTAAAAAATGATTATTTAATAGGGACAATATTGATATTATTATGTCTAAAGATATGATTTGTGATAATATTTATTTTTATTACCAAAAAGAGTTTGTTTTGGTTGAAAGAAAATTTATTCAGAACGAAAAATTAATTTTGGAAAAAAAATTTATTTATGACAAAAAAATTTTTTTTTTTAGAAATATAAATCAATTATTGAACCAATTACAATTTGGATTAAAACGAAATAAATTTATTTTGAATGACAATAAAATTTTAATTATGATTCAATTAAAATTTGGATCTAAACCAAATACATTTTTTTTGAACCAAATAAAATTATTTTTTACGAAATAAATTATTATCATTCAATTAAAATTTGGATCTGAACCAAATAATTCTTTTTGAGCCACAATAAAATTTAAATTTATTACAAATAAGATTTTTGAACCAAATAAATTTTTTTTGAACCAAATAAAATTATTTTTAACAAAATAAATTATTATGATTCAATTAAAATTTGGATCTGAACCAAATAAATTTTTTTTTTGAACCACAATAAAATTTAAATTCATTATAAATAAGATTTTTGAATCTAATTCATTTTTTTACGAAGTAAACTAATTTGAACCAAATAAATTAATTTGAACCATACAATAAAATTTAGATTTGAGCCAAAGAATTTTTTTTGAACCAAATAAATAAATTTGAATCAAAACAAAAATATTTTGTTAGGAAATAAATAGATGTGAACCAATTAAAATTTGGATTTAAACCAAATATATTTTTTTTGAACCACAATAAAATTTTAATCCAAATAAGATTTTTTAACCAAATAAAATTTTTGCAAAATAAATTAATTTGAATCAAATAAAATTATTTTTTACGAAATAAATCAATTTGAATCAAATAAAAATATTTTTTTCTATGAATTAAATTAATTTGAACCAATTATAATTTGAATCTGAACCAAATAAAATTTTAATCTGTACCAAATAAATTGATTTGAACCAATTTAAATTTTAATCAGTTAATTTGCAGCAAAAACAATTTTTTTTTTGTTTAAGTAAATTAGTTTGAATCAAATATTTATAATTTATATTTATTTATTTATTTAAAATCTCAGATTTTATTATTTAAAAAAAAATATTTTCACAAATGAGTCGAAAAACAATTTTTTAAAAAAATAAGAGTTATTTTCTTTAATAAATGACTCTATAGTTGGAAGAAATTTTTATAGTTTTATGAGGTGCGTGAATGCGAAGGAACAAATGAATTATGAATGCATTTTGCATTTACAACTCTCGTGGTAATTAAAGTCTAATCGATTTGAAGGGACTATAAAATAATGAGATAAGGTTTAATAGGCGACTATATTTATACATTTTAACCCTAATCGCATAACAAAATGAATATAATGACTCTCACTTAACGAATCTCACTTCTTTTCCCCGTGATAATTTTTCATAATCGCACTTATTTCAATGTCGATATGCACTCCACATTTTCGAGAATCAGCGTGATGTGTCCTATTTTAGGATTGTTAAATCGTTACGATCATATAATGATGGGTACTTCAATAATTCAGGGACAAATTTCACGGAAAAATGATTACAAGTACCTTATTTTACTATTGCGGTTGAGTATTTTTCTTCGTTTCGTTATTTTACTATTAATACTTTATTTTTATTTTTAATAACTTTATTTTTTATTTTACTATAAATATAAAACAAAAAATTTATAAATTTATAAACAAATTTTCATTATTTATTTATTTCTCCATTTTTATTTTTAATTTAATTTTTTTTCCTTTTCTATATTTTTATTTAGTTTATAAAATAATTCTCTTTTATTTTTTTTTTACTCTTTTTTTTGCAATTTTCAAAAAGGAAAAGAAATAAAAAAATTTAGAATAATCAAACAAAATATGCATTTCATTACTATACTAGAAATTAAAAGTACATCGGTAAATTATTTCTTTCCAAGAAAAACGATATCAATATATCATTCATAAAACAAAGGAAAACAGTTTTGATAAAACACTTCCTGTTGTTTGTTAACAATAAAAAAAGTGGGAAATTATAAAATTATAAAATTCAATACAAACTTGTTCTAAATAGAAAAATTCATCTAATTTTTTAAAAGTTGCAAACATTTTTTTTTATTTAAAGCAGGATAAATAGTAGTAAAATACTACTACTTTTTTTTACTACTATTTTGCTACTATTTTATTACTAGTTTGATAGTATTTTTGCTACTATTTTACT